CTTCTCCTCCTCCTCTCTCTCTCTCTCTCTCTCTCTCTCTCTCTCTCTAATATTTGGCCATTAATGGGAGATGAGAAATTGCCCTCTCCTACTCCCATGACTTCCTCAAGAGACAGAGATCGAGAACTTCTTATACCAGTTGCCGAGTCCCACGAAGATGGTGATTCCAAACCCTCTTCCTCTTCTTCTGCAACTTCTTCACACCACTCAGGAAGAGAGGTAGGGCTTTCTCTCTCTATCTTTTTAGTTTTATCTCTGTAGAACAATAACGCGTTATCCAGAGACAAGGAGAAGTGTGTTCTCTTTCTATCCTGTAATGCTTTCTGGTGTTTTATTTTTGTTAGGTTTTCATCATTTTTCTCTCGTCCTCGTGAGTTTTGTTTTAGGATTTTAATTCCGCTGTACCTCAATTGAAATCTCTCTCTGTCTCTCTAGAAACCCATCTGTTTCCCTATCTGTATGTGATTGTCTATTGTTTTAAGCTTTTGTTGATGACTAAAACCCTACGGTTTCATAACAGTGTGTTTTGTCAGGTGCAGTGTCAAGGGGGTGTTCAATTTTGTATCTATGATGTTATTGACTGAATTGTTAGATGACAATAGTTCACGTTACGGTTACATGAGCTTGGATTGGAGTGTTTTTAGTATTGATTGATTCATTCAATGCTGTTTTCTCTCTTTTTTTGGGGCTGGGTGGTGGTGTGGGTGTTTTTTTCTTTAAACGTAATTTGCAGTTGGGGAAGATGCCTTTTAAGGTTCCTTTCGTTTAGCGCGCCCCCTTCTTTTGGTTTTGGTTTATAATCATCATTACTTTTTTTTTTTTTTGCTTTTTTTTTTCAAAATAATTTCATAATATATTCTTCATAATTATCTTTTATGTTCATCAGGAATTATCTGTGTTCTTGGTTTTATTTTGGGTTCAACTCATTAGCTATTCGCCTATTCCTTCTAAATATGATCCATTAAGTTTGAATTAGGGCTGGATTATATCTTTGTGGTTTCTTTCCTATTATTATTTTGCCATGTCTATATGGGAGCACTGGGTGGGAGTTTAATATACTTAAATTACTCTCATACTTGTAGAGGATGTGTGCTAGGAGGTATTTTTGGGTTCTTCCAATGCAGGAAATTGGCTACTGATTTAGTTGAATTTTTTGCTTGTAAGAGAGAATTTAGTATTTTTTATGAGTTTTCGAAATGTGAATTGTGTGACCTTATTTCTCATTTGTCACATCGTTTGTTATTTTCTTGAATCATTTTCTAGCCTTCTAGTTTTATAATCGTGCAAGTTTGTTGGGTTAATGAGTTCGAAATTTTTTATTCTCCCTTCAAAATATATATTTTTTTCTTTTGGTGATTCTCAAATTTTTAACTCTTTAGGATACTTCTTACCGAAAGTGTCTCTATCTCTCTCTTTCTTTCTCTCTTTCTCTCTCTCTCTCTCTCTCTATATATATATATATATATATATATATATATGTATATATATATATATATATATATAGGTTATGTATTATATATATATATAGATAGATAGATAGATAGATAGGAATAGTATACAAAGAGACCATTTATTTTTAATACAAGGAGGTTACAATCACTATTGTCCATCAGATTTCAAATCGGGTGATTGTGAGTCATAGACTAAATTAAAAGTTCAAAAGAAAATTTCTTGAATTTGTGTCACACCTCAAGCCATCCAATTTGATATCTAATGGCTAGTTGTAATTGTGGCCTCCTTGTAACAAAGATAAATGGTCGCATAGTATACAATCCTATACACACAGTCACACACACATACACATGCACCATAATATTAGTTTGTCGTATTTGTCTTTTTCAATTTACTGAAAACTGAGAAATAAGAATAGATAATTTGATCTTATATAAAAAAAAAATAATGGATAATTTGCTACATGTATTGTTCATTTTCAAGTTTTGGACTCATTCAGTGAATCAAGGGTTGCTTTAGCAGCTAGACATATATGATTTCCTTACTTTTCAAATTAAACGGAGTGGCTATTTTCACACGACACGGATGAGAAATCAAAATGATTATTTTCTTGCAAATATTTTTCTCTTTATTTATTTTCTGCATTTTTTAATACTTTGGTCAATGGCATTGTAATTCTTGATATGATTAACATTATTATTATTATTATTTTATCTATTGTCGATGTAATTGTTACTTGGCTTGTGTCACCTTTGAGCTGTGATGGTGAAATTCATCATATTGAAGGTTCACACTGATATAGCTTGGCCGGGAAAAGATGGCAATGTGATTTAGCTGTTGAAATGGAAAAAAAAACTATGCGTTACATTCCTGTTCACTATTTTTAAAACTAATGTTATTATATGACTATGAATTCTTCAAGATTCTTCTTAATACACTTTCTATTTGAAAGTTTCAAAGAATTTGTGTAGTTCTTATATTGACAAACCTATGCATATTATCTGTTTTGGGTTATTTTCCTGGGGCCTCTTGCAATTAAGTAGCCTTAGATGAATTCTAATGTCTATTTCTTTGTATTTTCTAGGCGTTCTGTAAGGTTGTTCGAAGTTGGGCTTCAAAAAAGTTCATGACAGGATGGTGAGTATCTTTTCCGTGTTCTGAGCATTTCCTTGTCTATCATTCTACAGTTTGTGGTTTTCTTGATATGAACTATGTATATGTGTTGTTAGCAAATATAAGTTTGTGTATTTGTGCGTGTGTGAGTGTGCATCTATATGATTCTGTGTATGCACTTGTCTGTGTGTGATAAACACGTAGAGTCTCTTACGTATATTCATGCATACATCATTGTACATGTCTTCATTCCTATGCATTAGTTATCAAATACCTGTAGTAGCCTGTTCCTTTGGTGTATGCCCTTTATAGTTGTAAATATTTATTCCGATTTCTTGTAAGTAAATATATGACTGTATTACTATCATATTAAGATTTGTGCGATGTCTAACAAAGAAGAGATGGGCAGCCCACAGGTCAGATGCTTTAAAAGGATATGGTAATCAAAAGATGTGATATCTATGCTCCCCTCATACAAAAACCGTGGCTGAAACACAATACTCGCACTAAACCTGTACAACTGCTCCACATATAGGTGAATCTGACTGGGAATTTCATCCATGTAAAACACATGTGCTTAAAATATGCTGCAAGCTTCCATGGGCATGGGGCCCTTTTTGAGGCCCATAGGATGATGATATTGTCGGAATCTTCCTCTTCGGAATCTTCCTCGACGACATGGTTGTGGTCCTGGATTTCGAACTGAAGAGTCCTTTTAGTCTTACAAAAAGCAATATACCCATAGAATGAGTGTAGCGGTAATGAGGATGTTGAGATGGATGAGTAGCAAGCAAGAAGAGATAGAATTCGAAATTAATCCATTCGGGAGAATTTAGATGTGGCACCAATAGGAGATAAGATGAGAGACAGTAGACTTAGGTGGGTTGACGGCTGGCCATGTGTGATGTCGACCAAGTACAACACCTATTAGGAGGTGCGAGTTAATTCAAGTAGAAGGACTGAAAAGGGCAAAGGGTAGGCCCAAAAGGACGTAGTTGAAAGTGGTCCAAAAATATATAGGGACTTATGGCCTCACTGAGGGTATGACCTTTAATAGAGCAGAATGGCGGACCAGGATTCGTGTAGCCGACCCCAATTAATTGGGAAAAGGCTATGATGATGATGAAAGGTGATTATTTAAGCTGTATTAGAGCCCATGATGCTGATATAGCCGGAAAAGGAGAGGATGGAGTTTCCTTCAAAGTCTCATAGGATGCCGCTATAAGTGGATGGGCCAGGTTTACCAAGTGAGCAATCATCTATATTTAGTTTTACGAAGCCTTGGTCTGGGGGCCTTCACACACTGGATCCAGTGGTCACCAAATGGTTATAGGCTAAGATGTCCCTCCAGTTGTTTGCAAAGTCAGACGTGGAGAAGGTATGAAGTCCTTTGTACCTTTTGGCCCAAAAGATAGTGGAGGCTTTGTTGCAGTCTTGGAGGGACTGGATGCTTGATTGCCTTCCTTCAAAGATGCGATTGTCTCTTTCCCTCCATATGACCCCAATTATGGCGAATGGAGGCTCTCCATAGGAAGATACCTGCTGCAAGGAAAGAGGAAAGGAGAAAAAAGTGGGAGAGGGAGAGGGAGAGGGAGAGGGGGGGGGGGTTGGGGTTGAAGAAAACTAGGAAGAGCTGTTTGATAGATTTTGGGGTCGGCCAAAACCAGTCAAAGGCTTGCACAAGGGATGACCATAAATCAGAGGCCACCATGCGGTGGAGGAATAGTGGTCGATATGTTCTTGCTTGTGCAAGCACATGATGCATCTGTTTGGTGGTGGAAAGCCCCTCCAATGTGGCTGATTTGCAGTTAGTGCCCTATCAGAATGCACAATCCAATGTAGAGATTGGATTTTGTGTGGGACCTGGACACTCCAAACCTTTTTGGTTGTTGAAGGAGGCGGGGCTGGCTTGGGTTCAAGGCACAGGAAACCAAGAAAATTCCACTGCAATGGGGATCCAAATAACATATCCCTTCCTTCATGATGTAGAAAGAACAATTGTAAGAGTAGCAGATTGGTTAGGTCATTGGGCTTTTCGCCTGCAAGTGCCATCAAAAGATGGGGAGCCACATTGTTATCCCCTTGGGGCTTAGAGGCAGCTGTGACTGTGACATTGTGGTCCGACACAATTCTCAGAAGGGCTGGTCACTGATGTTCGAGAATTTTGTCCTTCAACCATAGGTCCTTCCAGAAGCGGATTCTATCTCTATTATTTAGTCTTTACAATGAGTCATGTTAGTCTTGTGAAGCTGCACGACTTTTTGCAATGCAGCAGTGCAAAGTATAGCCCTTGGGAACCAGCCAGACTCATTTACTTCTTATTTCTCCTGAATAATGTGTCTCCACAGTTGGTTGTCCTGTGTGGCGTAGTGCACACCACCACCATTGCCTAGCAGTAATTTTGTTTGTGGATTCCCAGTCCTTCTTCCTTCTTTGGGGAGCAGATTTTCTTCCATGAAATGAGGTGGAATTTTTGCTCTCCATTCACCCCAGACCACATGGATTCTCATTATAATAGAATTCTAATTATAAAAAAAGTTAAGCTTGACAAGAAATTTTTCCATTATGTCTTTTATTGATCTCTAGTTTTGTTTTCTGCTTGGCACTTGCTGCTTGTGGTCTGCCATTGTGAAGTTAGAATTGCCCTAAACGTGTGCATATTATACATGCAGCTATTCCCGGGTGATGAGCCACTTGTGGATTATGTTGGAGAATTACTAATGTGATTTAAATTTATTAAGATATTTGATCTCTCTTTAGTCCTTTTTTCCCCCTCTTCCATCATGCCCATTATTGTGTTCAATTATCCACATTTCTTTTCAAAAAATAAGGGATCCATGGGTAGGCAGGGCTCATGAAATAACGAAATGACGGACTCATATCCGACATGTCTTGTGTGTGCCTGTTTGCCTTGTTGGTGTTATATGGCAGATTTCTTTTAGTAGTGTTTATGTGTTATATGTGCTTATTATATTCTTGCAAGTGTTATGGAAAGGAATATCAAAGTGGGAAAGTAATTGCTAAGGATCTTGATCAAGGAGGTTGATGAGCTAAGGCGGGCTTGTTTTGGTAGGTATTGTGGAAATCATCAAGTAGAGTTGGAGTGCTGACTACCTTGTAACAGGGGTTGCATGAAACAAAGTTTTGATTGATGTAGTAAGGGTACTTTCTCAGGAGGAATAGAAGGATGTAGGAATGGCTTCTTTGGTCTCGTTGGGCTTCAGTAATGAATTGAGGGTTCTATCTTGGGGATGACTTATCCCTTTCGAAAATATTTTGGACAATTGCAGATTCCAATGGTTGTGGTTTATCAGGCACAAGGAGACTAGTTAACAATGAGCAGATTAGCCACATAGGCATAGCAAATTTGAGAATAATACAAGAAATCCTCCTAACCTTTTCCTTTTGAGCTATATATATATATATATATATATATATATATACGTACTA